CATTATCTCACTTCACGAGGTGTACCACGAGGCCCCTATTTCTCTTTAGGCGGGATGCTATGGTATATGTACCATGAGCAGGATTCCATGATGAACTTATTATCTCCCTCACCTAAATGAGATGCCCTGCACCACGATTTGCTAGCAGGATGCCACGATTATGACAACGCCCCCTATTGCACTCATGCGGAGAAAAATAAGAGTTACTTCGAAAGAGTTTTCATGGTTAAAATACGAAGCATGACATGACAACCTCTAAGGTTTAGTTCTTGAAAACGAAACAAGAAGTCATATCCTAGCTCAAGGCTTAGACATGCTCCAAATTACCAACTATTTTCTGTAAGGTCTATTCAATGCTCCAAATTACCAACTATTTTCTGTAAGGTCTATTCAATGCTCCAAATTACCAACTATTTTCTGTAAGGTCTATTCAATGCTCAAAATTACCAACTATTTTCTGTAAGGTCTATTTTGTATGACATGAGAATAAATTCAAGATTTCAAGTTGGCATGTTCATGAAGCCTTGGAAGGCATTGGAAGGCATGAAGCGGAGCAAGTTCGGAATAACTCAACAATGTTACACCTTATGCCTCAAGAAAATTTGAACAACTCAACAATGTTGTTGTTCCTTAATTCTATGTTTTCACATCAAGGTCATTTCATAAAGATCCTACCGGGAGTTGAACCCAAGTCGTTGGATTCAAAGTCCAAAGTGCTAACCACTACACCATAGAACCCCTTATAAAAATTTATTTTGGAATGGTTTTCCTATTTTATGCAGATTCCACCAGAAGAGAGATCCTATCACGAGTCAAACTCAAGTTATTGGATTCAAAGTTCTAGAGCTGTTTTATCTAACTCATTGTGATCTTGAGCACCTTTAGAGTGGTTGCAAAAGTAACCCTCCAGTGTTGATTGAAGCTCTTGGAGAACATGTAATTTTATATATTTCTTATAGTTAATTTATGTATTGTTATATATTTCAAACAAATTGAAATAATACTTTACATCCCTGTCTTTCTTTCTTCCGTGCAAAACTTAACATGAAAACTATATTATTTCAATATTCAAGAAACAAGGGGTGAAAACTATATTATTTCAAACCCTCCATTATTGCTTCTACTTTGCGTGAAAATGCTTCCACTAAATCATGTTGCTAACTAGGTTGTTTGGTTCGGTTCAATTCTTGGGTCCACTAGATTGAATCAACCTAGCTCAATTAAACTCTTGATAATATAAAAATCATAAGTTTCTTAAATTACGTTAACTTAAAAGTTTAACCCTAATTTTTTTTAGAATGTTTAGCTTTGTTTCTAGTTGATCTCTAAATGCTTAGAAGTATCTAATAAGACTTCTATTTAAGGAACTTTTCTCTATAAAAGATGTAAGACTTCAGGTTTATTATTAAGGAATTTCAAATGAGTGATTTGATAATCATATAGGACAAAAATATTTATTTGTTTCAAATATCTTATGTTGACCATTCTTTTTTGTCAAGTATTTTGAATATTATCATTGTGAATTACTAATGACATCAAAATATTATTTGTTTCAAATATCTTATGCTGACTGTTCTTTTTTGTCAAGTATTTTGAATATTATCATTGTGAATTACTAATGACATCAAAATATTTATTTGTTTCAAATATCTTATGTTGACCATTCTTTTTTGTCAAGTATTTTGAATATTATCATTGTGAATTACTAATGACATCAAAATTAATACTTTAATTTCATCTTCAAAATTTATTTCCACTTAACTCAGTTGACTGATAATTATAATAGTCACCCTGCACAAATATTTACAACATTAAAAGGTAGAAATTATAAGGAGTACAAGAGAAGAGTGCTTAAAATAGTTTCAAAATATAGAAAAAAAGAAAAATAGTATGATTTGGTCAAAGTCAACATCCATTGATCACTTATGGCACAACACAGCAAGGGTAACATTTTTTTTATATCTCTACTATATTAGGCCCTTTGGTTTATTGGCTTTACAAGAGGGAGACATAAAGTCTATGTTTGAAATAAATTTGGTTTGATTGTTTTCTCATTAGCATTGATACCATCAAAACTTATTTATTTCTTTGAAATGTTTGAGTTTACAATTTACATGTTTTCATTTTTCTACTTTGTCTGTCTTCATTTAGAAATGAAGCAAAATTAGTCGGAGGGTTTTAGGCAGATGGTTATAATTCTAATTTTTAACTAAAAAAAAAATTAGTCTCCTTGTCACGCTTAAAACTACCCTATAGGTATAATCGGCCAATTATCTTATGGCTTTTTTGCCTTAATCTTTTGATGATAACAAACCTACCTTCAATTATTAACAATTCTCAGTATTTTTTTCCACAGTGTAAGGTTGGGAACAACGATTTTAACGTCTTTTTTGGTTCACTCAAATTAGAGATAAAACGAAGAAGTTCTAGTCAAAACAAATACCCGACGTGATGATGTGGTGGCAAAATTGACATCATGGATCAATCAAATTCAAAACAAGATACCTGACGTGATGATATGGTAACAAAATTGATGATGTGGTGACAAAATTGACATCATGGACCAGCGACAAAATTGACATCATAGACCAGTCGAAATATGACATTTATAAATTTGGTAGAGTAACAAATGGTGGAGTTTTCAATTACATTTATAAAAGTTTTCCTTTACTTTTAAATAATAAAATCATTTCAATTATATTTATAAAAGTTTTCGGTTACCTTTTAAATGGAAAGAAATTATAAAGATTTCATTTACATTTATGAAAACTAGGTAAACTAGGTGTTACTTTTAAATGAAAAAAAAATATTATAATGATTTCATTTATGAAAATGAGTTATTACTTTTAAATGAATAGAAATTATAATGATTTCATTTAGTTTTCATAAAGATAATTATTTGAATTAAAATATCATTTCAATTATAAGGATTTCATTTAGATTTATAAAACTTTTAATTATTTTTAAAATGTTCATTAACATTTTTGTATAGTATTACATTTAAATATGTTATATATATATATATATATATATATATATATATATATATATATATATAATAAAAATGAATTTAAAATGTTTTAATATTTATTTAAAATAATATATATATATATATTTATATGAAATATGTGTTCTATAATTTTTTACGATAAATTTAAAAATAAATAAATATTATTTTTCGTGGTTCATGTTTCGATTCACGTTTTAGTGGTCCGTATCAGTTTTAGTGGTCCGTATCAATTCCTATTTTTACAACTTGATCGCTATTTAAACTCATCATCTCTTAGTATTTTTCACAACATAACACACAGAACATTTGTTTCCTCGATCTAAATTTTTTTTTAAAAAGCCTCCATTGTTTCTCTCCAAAGCTTCCAATTCTATCTTATTCGAGAGATGTCTATTATTTCAGAGTGTTGTGGTGTGTTTCTATAAGATTTCAGACAATTGTATTGGTTTGATCCTGAGCCGTGGAAAAGATTGAGTTTGCTCTTGAACTCGTAAAAAGAGCGGTGTACCGGTTTGATCTTGAGCCGTGGAAAGGATTGAGTCTGCTCTTGAACTCGTAAAAAGAGGGGTGTACTGATTTGATCCTGAGCCTGAGTTTGCTCTTGAACTCGTAAAAAGAGCGGTGTATTGGTTTGATCCTGAGCTGTGGAAAGGATTGAGTTTGCTTTTGAACTCGTAAAAAGAGCGGTGTACCAGTTTGATCCTGAGCCGTGGAAAGGATTGAGTATGGTCTTGCACTCGTAAAAAGAGCGGTGTAGCGGTTGGGCTCTGATTCGAGGAAAGAGTCAGAAAGTTTTATTCAAATTCCCAAGAGGTGCTTGGGGAGTGGAGTAGGTCGAGTTTGACTGAACCACTATAAAATTACGGTGTTATATTTTCTAACCCTTTCCTATTTAAGTTCTAAATTATTGTTAAGTTTTATTGCATGGTATCAAGTTTGAAATAATTACATTGTTGAAACCCTATTCACCCCCCTCTAGGGTTGTCATATCGATCCAACATTATCCTTCCACCAATAGGAGCAAAAGGCAACGTTACTATGTGAAACTAGTTTCATGTCATTTATTCAATAATAAGGGTGTTAGCATGCATTTGGAAATGAACCCATATTTAAAAAATTTAGATAAAATAGAAAAGAATTGTTATCTCAAAGACAATGATACTATGCGAAACTAGCCTCAAGATGCTTCCTTAACTCGTAGGGGCCGTAAACCAACGGTTCCTTCACCCAAGACCCATGGCCCAACTCCCAACATGGAAGGGATAATCTAGAGAATCATTCCAAGAACCCTAACGGATGGGTTACAAACTCACATTATCAAGCTCGACGACAAACAATGTCGCCGACAAACTTAGGAAGACTACATGAAATTACGAATATATCAATGTAGGATTTTTTAATTTATCGATTTTTAAAATGTTAAATTATGTGAAATTAGTGGCAAAGAATAATATTTTAGAGAGCTCTTCCTTTTTATTTAAGATTTTGATATTTAAGAAAAGAGAAAATGAATAAAAGTAGGAGACATTTTATAGATTTAGGAGGAGTAAGTGAAAACAAAAAGGGAGTCATGACCCATTTTTGGTGGGTTCTCGAAGCACGGATTATTACAAGTTAAAAGAGGTTGAAAACAAAGTAAAATGTTAACTACTCTTAGTTACATGAAAGATATGGGTAAAATGATTTCTCGAAATAAAAAATAAAATATAATGAACATATATATTTACATTATATTCAAAATAGAGTTATTTACATTATATTCAAAATAGAGTTTATAGGTTCATAGTAACAAATAAGGGAAATGTTGAAACAAATCATTTTAAAACATAAAAAATAGTTGGTGTTCTTTGTCTAGGGTAACTACTCTTAGTTACATGAAAGTTGACTAATTGTAAGTTTTTAACCATATTCTTTTTTTAATGTACATTCTTTTCCCTTTAGACACTCAGTGGTCGGGAGTAAATCGAACAAAGTGTCTGTCCAAAATAAAAGGGCCCAACCAGATTCGAATTGATGACTACTTGATCTGCAGTCAAATGCTCTACCACTAAGCTATGGACCCATTTTGCATGATTTCAACTTTAGTGACACATTCTACAGAGTGTTAGTCCAAAAGTGTAAAAAGTGTTTGTCCAAAATAAAAAGGTGACCGGTCAAATTCTCTACCACTGAACCATGGATCCATTTTGTAGGATTTTAACCTTAGTGGCCCCTTAGACATAGTGTCCGTCCAAAAAGTGTAACAAATTTCTATCCTAGATAGAAGGGCCCAACTAGGTTTGAATTGGTGACGTCTTGATCTGCAATCAAATGCTCTAAAAATTATGGGAAGACCATTGATGAAATTGAAGCAATCGATGCTCCCCTGTATGGGTTTCCAATCAAAGACCTAATGTTTGATGTTGGCTCTTTTGAAGAAAGAGCCACGTGATCGAACAACAAGAAACGTGGCGGTATCTCTGAGAACTCTATCACACACATAAAAAAAACGTGTCAAAGAGTTAGACATTACACAGAAGATCTAGCTTTCATTGAGGAGACCCAAGTTTGATAATTTTATTTTCTTATTTCTTTTATTTTATAGTTTCATTTTTTGTCACCAATTATATTTAAACTTTGCCTAGGTTTGAGAAGCACTATAATGGATGAGTTCAATAGTATCTTAAATTCAAAAGACTTTTATGAACTTGGTTTGAGAGGCACTATAATGGTCAAGTTCAATAGTATCTTAGATTAAAAAGACTTTTATGAACTTTGAACCTTTAATAATGTTATGTCATAGATATTTGGTTCAATTTCAACAAGTGAGGTAAGGTCATTCAAATGGTTAATGTGATAATTCGGTCATTTTCAAGGTCTCTTTTGTTGAACGCCATCATGGTTGAGATGACTGAGATGAGCACCAGAGTGAGTTTGACAAGGAGGGTCGTAGAGAACCACACCCCAAGCCAAGCTCATGTTGGGCTTAACAAACTGAAAATCCAAAAACACAAACCCTTAAATGGGAACTAGGATGCTAAGGAATTAAAAAAAACTTTATTTTTTTACGTTGAACAATACTTGAAGGTTACAGGAACTTGCTCATAGGACCTAAGAGTTACGTTGGCCACAATGCATCTGATGGACGGTGGCGCTCGAAGGTGGATGATATAAAAAATGGGTCATGCACCATAAACTCATGGGAAAACCATTGATGGAATCGATGCAATCGACGCTCCCCTTGATGGGTTGCCAATTAAAGACTTGACGTTTGATGTTGACTCTTTTGAAGAAAAAGCCACACGATCGAACACCTCGAAATGTCGCGATAGCTCTAAGAACTCTATCATACGACCTGAGAGTTGACACACGATCGAACACCTCGAAATGTCGCGATAGCTCTAAGAACTCTATCATACGACCTGAGAGTTGAGGGCTACAGGAACTTTCTCATACGACCTGAGAGTTATGTTAGCCACAATGCATCTCATGGACGATGCAAAACTATGGTAGTGCTCGAAGGTGAATGGTATAAAAAATGGGTCATGCACCATAAACTCATGGGAAGATCGTTGATGGAATTGATGCAATCGACGCTCCCCTGGATGGGTTGCCAATCAAAGACCGAACATTTGATATTGACTCTTTTGAAGAAAGAGCCACACAATCGAACAGCTCGAAACGTTGCGGTAGCCCTGAGAACTCTAACACACACAGGGAAGGACGTGTCGAAGAGTTAGACATTAAGCAAAAGATCATGCTAAAACTCTTCAGCGATCTGACAAAAGACTTTAGAACATCTACACCAAAAATTCATTGTCGTCCAGCGGTCAGGTTATCTGGCTTTCACCAAGTGACTCGAGTTTGATTCTCGTTAATGGAATATTATTTTCTTATTTCATTTTATTTTACAGTTTCTATCTTAGACTAAAAAGACTTTTATGAACTTCGTACCTTTGTTAGAGTTATGTTATAGATATTTTGTTCAATTTCAAATGGTTAATGCGATAATCCAGTCGTTTTCGAGGTCTCTATTGTTGAACGACATCATGGTTGAGATGAGCAGATGATTCAAATGGTTAATGCGTTATGTTATAGATATTTTGTTCAATTTCAAATGGTTAATGCGATAATCCAGTCGTTTTCGAGGTCTCTATTGGTTAACGACATCATGGTTGAGATGAGCAAATGATTCAAATGGTTAATGCGATAATCCAGTCGTTTTCGAGGTCTCTCTTGTTGAACGACGTCATGGTTGAGATGAGCAGGTGATTCAAATGGTTAATGTGATAATCCAGTCGTTTTCGAGGTCTCTCTTGTTGAACGACATCATGGTTGAGATGAGCACCCGAGTGAGTTTGACAAGTTGGGCTGTAGAGAACCACACCTCAAACCAAGTTCATGTGGGCTTAACAAACTTAAAATCCAAGAACACAACCTCTTAAATGGAAACTGGGATGCTAAGGAATTAAAAAGCTTTATTTTTGACGTAGAACATTACTTGAAGGTTACTGGAACTTACTCATAGGACCTAAGAGTTACGTTGGTCGCAATGCATCTCATGGACGATGCAAAGCTATGGTGGGGCTCGTAGGTCAATGGTATAAAAAATGGGTCATGCACCATAAACTCATGGGAAGACTGTTGATGGAATCGATGCAATCGACGCTCCTCTTGATGGGTTGCCAATCAAAGACCTGATGTTTGATGTTTACCCTTTTGAAGAAAGAGCCACACGATCGAACAGCTCGAAATGTCGCAGTAATTCTGAGAACTCTATCACACACATGAAAGGACGTGTCGAAGAGTTAGACATTACCCAAAACATCATAGTAAAACTCTTCCGCGATTAGACAAAAGACTTTAGGACAACTACACAAAAAATTCATTATTGTCCAATAGTTTGGATATTTGGCTTTCACTTAGGAGATTCTGGTTTGATTCTCTGAAATGGAATATTATTTTCTTATTTATTTTTATTTTATAGTTTCATCTTTTGTCACCAATTATATTTAAACTTTACCTCATTTTAAGAGGCATTTTAATGGTCAAGTTCAATAGTATCTTAGATTAAAAAGACTTTTATGAACATCCTACCTATGTTAGTGTTATATTATAGATATTTGTTTCAATTTAAACAAGTGGGGTTGAGGTGAGGTGATTCAAATGGTTAATGTGATAATCCGACTATTTTCGAGGTCTCTCTTGTTGAACGCCATCATGGTTGAGATGAGCACCCGAGTGAGTTTGACAAGGAGATTCGAATTTAAACTTTACCTACGTTTGAGAGGCACTATAATGGCCAAGTTCAATGGTATTTTAGATGAAAAAGACTTTTATGAACTTTGTACCTTTGTTAGTGTTACTTTGTACCTTTGTTAGTATTATGTTATAGAAATTTGGTCAAGTGGGGTTGAGGTGATTCAAATGGTTAATGTCACTTTATTTGATTCAAATTGTTAATGTGATAATCTAGTTGAATAGTTACAGATTATTTCCAAGGTCTCTCTTATTGAGCTAAGCCTTGGCTAAACCTTGGAAATCTTAGTGCCATAATGCATTTCAAATCCTCCTAGCCATTATCCGACTGCAACAATTCTTGCTAAGAAGAACGCCCATGTTGTGTCAATTCCACCCAGAAGGTAATGGGTTACTCCTACAACATGTCCTTGGACAATGCTAAGGCTCTAGGCTGAGTAGCAGAAGCAACTTTTAATTTATTATGAGCCCAAACGATGGATTCAATAAGTTCTTGCCAATAACCACGCCCGCTGAATAGAAACATTAAACTAAAAGCCCATACAAAATGAGCACCTAGGAAAAACAGGCCATATGCAGATAATGAAGAACCATAAGACTGAATTACCTGGGATGCCTGTGCCCATAAGAAATCGCGAAGCCACCCATTAATAGTAATGGAACTCTGCGCAAAGTTTCCTCCCCTAATATGAGTTACTACCCCTTGATCACTTACACTACCCCAAAAGGGTCAACAAGGTTGAAATGATTGAGATGAGCACATGAGTGAGTTTGACAAAATTGAAATAAACTGAAATAAAATCACTAAAAAATCAATAAAATTGAAAAAAATTGAAAAAAAAAATAGCCTTATGACACTTCGTTCAACTCGAAGGGCGGTAAATCAAGGATTCCTTCGCCCACGACCCATGATCGAACTCCCAACATGGAAATGATAAGCTCTAGAATCATTCCAAGAACCTCAATGGATGGGTTACAAACTCACATTACCAATCTCGACAACTGGACGTGTCATCGCCGTTAGAAGAACGACCACATCAGAGCAAGTCATGGGGATAGAAGATCCCGTTGGAGGATGATAGACTACCCGTAATCTTCAGCCCAACAAGCCAAGCTTTTGTAGAAGCAAGAATCTTTGTATTAAAGAAATTAACACCTTCTTATACAAAATTTGGATCAACCAAGAGATAAAGCTAGAATTAGATAATGAGATTCAAGATTGAGAAACAAGATTTGGAACCTTTTTCTAAATTGAATCACTTCACAATCGAACTTGATCAAGGCTTGATTGAATGACTCAGATCAATCTACCACAAGAATTGCATGAAACTTAGAAATGACAAAGATATGCTCAGATTTCTATAAGGGGGATCGTCTCAACTTGAGAGATCAATTTCATTGATCACAAATATGCTTTTACATAATAATTTGTGAGTATTTATAGTCTCCCAATAAAAGAAGTTAGTGGCCGTGATTTAATCTCGATCCCTTTAAATCTCCAGAGAAGACGAAGTCAATTTGAGCATTACAAACTTTATGAAATTAAAATAATAAATAAAGTTTTCTAACCACTCATGAAATGATGCTTGCAACTCCATCCACTACTTCAACCGTCCAAATATTTGCTTTTGAATCTCCAAATGGTCTTGACTCAAACGAATCAGCTTGTAACACATGAAATGATGGTTGAACCTAGCCTATCCAATTTTGTAGATGAAGTATGAATGCTTGTTGAATCATCTTGGTCGTGGGTTGTGTAATAGGTCTAGTTGGAACACCGTGATTCTTATCATCATCCCCCTCTTCAAAAGGATTCGTCCTCGA